CCCCCGCCTGGCGTGCTACCATCCCCCCGGCCCGGCTGCGATTCACACCCACACTTCAAGCGCCCGACGCGCGCCCCAGCAACGCGCCCGCGCCTCGTCGCGCCTGGCCTGGATTTGTCGCGTGCGCCACTTCCGGCGCCGCTTCGCACATGAGCCGTGAGGCGGCCTCCAAGCCCCCAAAGGCCCCTGGAACTTGTCTTGCCTGTGCAGATCGCGGAGAGACTGCTTGCACATACACACCCACACTCGCCATGGAGGGCAACGCCGACTGGCCCCCCCTCCAAGAGCGCGGGCCCGTGCAAGGGCAGGCCTGCAGCTGGCATGGTTGCGTGTCCGCACGCGATGGGCCCTTTCTTCGTGCCGGGGCGCACCGCGGCATCCCCAGGGCCCTGCGGCCGGCGAGCGCGCAGTGCCCCGCCGCAGCACCACCCCTAGCCGCGGCGCCCCGCGCCTGTGCATCACCTGCTTTACACTGCGGCCTCTGGTTGTCCTGGGGTCCTGCAAAGATTGAACTGCCGAGCCCCCCTGGCCCATAGGCGCCCACACCCTGCGCCAGCACGTCTATCCCAGCAGGTGGGGCTAGGCACGCAGCTGCCCGCCTCACTCTGTGGCTGCGTCGTGCGGCCGGTCGGGCGTCGGCTGCTCACGGCGTTTTCTGTTCACTTATATTTTTCTGGTCCCTCGAAAAGCCCCCTGTCCCTGGCTTGGGTGGAGCCACGCGCACCCCTGTTTTCCACAGCCAGCGCGAAGCGTCGCAGGCTGGCACCCGCGATGCCAACGTGCACCACGATCGTCCGCCGGCCATCTCTTTGTTTTCCGCTCACGACGCACAACCCACCCCGCCGAGACGCGCCGCGGCATCCAAGCAAGCCTGGTCGCGACTCCTGAGGCGGCCTCGGCCCTGCGCGCAGTGGCCAGGTGCGCCCAAGCAAGCCGGTCGCGCGGCCAGACGGCGCGGCACAGCGTGTCTCGTGCAGAGCGCCCTTCCCTTTTCGTGTGCCAATAACAATCTCTCCCATCAGGAATTTGCGCCAATCCCCGATTGCCTGCGGTTGTTTTGAACCCTACCAGGCGTTCACAGCTCGCGTGCGGAGCACCGGCCTGGCAAGGGGGTGGGCAGCCGTTTTGGGCAGCCCACCCGATGCCGCCGGCCGGCGCAGCCGCTCGCTGCCTCCGGTTTCATCCCAGGAAATGCTTGCACGAACCCAGACGCGTGCGCTTGCCCGGGGGGCGCGCGGCGCCGCGCATCAAATCGGGGTAGGGGCAGCCACATCGACACCCATGGCCTTGTCTGGTGTTTCAAAGCGCCCGCCGGGAATAACGGAGCCGCAATAACCGCTGCGGTCCATGTGATGGTTTCCCGTGTCCCCCCTTGCTTTGCTTCCTGTGGCCACGGGCCACCGCCAGCACGCACCTGGCTGCTGTGCGCGCAAAAGGGGTCTGTGGGACTCGTGCTGGCACGACGCTGGGGCGGCTTGCACGCGGGGCGGCTGCTGCGCGCCCTGCTGCGCTGCTGTGCATGCGCGGGTCTCAGGGCCCTCCTGCTTCAAGTCGCTGGGAGGGGTGGGATGTTTCAAGGCCGGCGTCTCGCGCGTGTGCCCCGCACTGACAGGTTGCAGTCTGCTCTGCCCCTGGGCTTCGCCGGCCACGGCTGTGGCTGGGTGTCCTATGCCGACTGCCCAGGCAAGGTGACTTTCACGATGATGAGGCGTTTTCCCACCCGACGGCTCGCTTGTTCCATCGCACTGTTTTCCACACCTCGTGTCCAACACCGGCCTTTTCGGCTGGCGAACAGCGACACCAGGGCGCCCCCGCAAGCTACACGACTGGCTGCAGCTGTGCATATCCGCCCATCATTCGCCTCCTGCGTCAGTTTCCCCAGTCGACCCTCACTCACCACCGCGCGCGCTTTACACCTCGATGCTGCACTGCTAGCCTTGGCAACGGTGCCAACCGCAAAATTACGGGCGCTGCTGCCGCCATCACTTGCTCGAGTCAGTTCCTTCTGGGCACATGGAGTTGTTATCATACATGCAAACGTGGCACGCGAGGCGAGAGCCCCCTTGGACTGCATCGCGTGGATCGCATGCAGCCGGGCGTTTGCGACTGGGTGTGACGCCTCAGGGGTCAGTCCACACACGACCTGCTCTTGCACAGCCAGTTGGAACTTATGCGGCCGCCCCAGGGCGTTGCCATAACATGCTTTCGCACCAAAACAATTTGAGCACTGCGGTTGGTAATGCCGACAGGCATACGTTTGGGACGGCATGGGCAATGGGTAATGGAGCCACATCAACTGCAACACCCCATGGTGATGATGATGGGGCGGGTGGAGTCGCACTCGGGGGATCAAGGCTTGAGGCAGAGCAGGTCAACTGGGGCTGCTGTATAGAGGGTCCTCAGCAGCTGTACCCGGACGTGCAGCACTGGCAGTGGAGGCATGCTTACGGGCGCATGCTGAGGCAGAGCGCGTAGGCAAATCGTGTGATCATGCAAGCACAGGCTGCTGGGCGACGGTTGGAGCGGCTGGCCGCCACTGAGAGATACCCGACACAGCTGCAGGTCAGCAGCAGTGTGCACGAGTAGAGAATAATCCATGCTATCCCAGAACCACCCGGACTTCCAGCTACATGACAACAACTGCAGGGCGCACAAATTCAAGCAAAACGGTCAGCTGCGCATGCAGCGCGCTCCATGGTTCCATGGAGGCGGTGACATCCTTAGCAGCTTCACCTGTTCTTGCTCTGCAAATTCAGACACGCCGCAGCACGGTTGATATTCTTCATCATAACGTGCTGTCATATCTCCACCTGTCAAGTGGTGCTCGTATAGCAGCGCCTACCAGGAGCAGCAGAATTAGCTAGGTACACTCCTCGGTATCACAGCGGCGTCACCATGGCCCATGCAGGGGTAAGCATGAAAGGCAGCGCATACATGATCATTGCCTTACAGCCTCGCCGCCTAGCGATCTGGCGACGCGAATGATGGCGCGCTCTCACCGCCGAATGACAGGCTTTGCCAGGGCAGGAGGCACCTGCCGGTGTACCCTGTTTCAAGCTGGTGCTGGTGGGCGACGGTGGCACAGGTCAGGAGGCACCCGCCAGATCGGCGTTTTCAAGCGTCCAGGGCGTCTCAGGAGCCCCTGCCAGCCGCATGACTCTCGTGACAGGCAGATGATGTCCATGGCCTGCCTGCGAAGCCTGGCCCTTGCAGCACGCATGATGCACCTGGTTGGCGCGCGCGCAGCTTGCCGTCGTCACGCTCATGCGCACCCCGCCTTGCCCCCCTCGCTCGTCCCTCTGCGCAGGCAAAACCACCTTTGTCAAGCGCCACATCACCGGGGAGTTTGAGAAGAAGTATGAGCGTAAGCAGTAGGGCAAGGAGGGATGTGGCACATGACCTGCAGGTTCTGCATTGTCCACCGTGCCGCCGCAGCGCCGTCGGCCCCCCAGCCGCCCAGCCCGGCGCCCAACGGGCTGCCACCACCGCACCTAAATCCCCCGCTGCAGCAACCATCGGCGTGGAGGTGCGGCCGCTGGACTTCACAACCAACCGCGGCAAGATCCGTTTCTTCTGCTGGGACACGGCCGGCCAGGAAAAGTTTGGTGGCCTGCGCGACGGCTACTACATCCATGGGCAGTGCGCGATTATCATGTTTGACGTCACGTCGCGGCTGACCTACAAGAACGTGCCCACATGGCACAGGGACCTCTGCAGGTGAGGAGCTCGTACAGGCAGGACTGCAGCCATGCGCCCAGGACGATTTAGTGTGTGTGTGTGTGTGTGCGTTTGTGTGTGTGTGTGTGTGTGTGTGTGTGTGCGCGCGAGCCGGGAGCAGCCCCTTAGAATTGTACGCAGCGGCAGCTGTGCGTGCGAATTCTGGTGCAGTTTGAAAGAGTGTGGAGTCTTGCAAAATTTCCAGATGCAGCCGCAGCAGCCGCGGTTGGGATCGCAAGCGAGAGGTGGCTTCTAGTCAAGCTGGCAGCAGTCAGGCTGGCGGGCGGCAGACTTCATTCCCGCTGTTTGGGAGTGCGGCGCGCCTTGCTGAGTGCCATCCCCTTCGACATCGCAACCTCGCCAGGGTGTGCGAGTTGATCCCCATCGTGCTGTGCGGGAACAAGGTGGACGTGAAGAACCGCCAGGTCAAGCCGAAGCAGGTGACCTTCCACCGGAAAAAGAACCTGCAGTACTACGAGATCAGCGCAAAGTCAAACTACAACTACGAGAAGCCCTTCCTCTACCTGGCGCGCAAGCTCGTCGGGTGGGTGCCTGGGAGGGGAGGAGGGGGTTGCAGGGGCCGGGCATGTGTGTGTGTG